TTCCAAAATCTCCTCTCAGTATCCCCTCTATCTCTTTTAACCCTTTGCACTCCTATGTCGAGTGTGACTCGACATCAATTTTTATCTCAGGAGCTCCTTCGTCAAGTCCCATTCGACATTTTTTCAAGTCAAATCAATTTTTATACACTTGAAAATTACAAAATACAACAACAGTGTAAATAAAATACTTATTTTAACAGGTAAATTTCAAATGAAACACTTAAAAGCATTGGGGGCCGCTCGTAACAAAATTGGAATATAATTTGGAGTGCAAAGGGTTAAAACCTGACCACACTTTCGTTGGATCTTCTGTCACTTCGGCGTCAGTGTTTGTGGTCACTGCGTTGTGAATCTAACGATATTTTTTTTTATCTCATATAACTTTATAACTTTGAGATCAGCACTCAGGCTTCCTTTTCTCTTTTAAAATGTTATCCTATGTACGTTCTTTCGGTGTCAGTGTTTGTGGACAAAACTTTTGTCTCTGGAGTTAACAATATTTTTTTTGGTCTCATATAACCTTACAATGTAATCTTCGAAATTAGTACTGTCTCTGTCAAGTAACTCATATATGAATGACAAGACTTATGGAATATGGAACTGGGTTAGGTCTGGGTTAGGGTTTAACAATATTCTTTTTGGTCTCGTATTACTCTAAAATCTCATTTTCAAGATTAGTACTGTCTCTGTCAAGTAACTCATACATGAATGACAGGACTTATGGAATATGGAATTGGGTTAGATCTGAGTTAGGATTTATGAATTTTAGTGAGGTTAGAAAAATAACCTTTGTTAGTTTGGTCTGTAGTCACTGTGTGGATCTAACAATATTCTTTTTGACCTCATGTAACTCTACAATCTAATTATTGAGATTAGCACTTTCTCTGACAGAACTTTCCAGTATGAAACTAGAAAAATTAATTCTCGAATTGAAGTGTTAAAGGAAAGTCAAGGATTGATGAATTTTAGTGAGGTTACAGAAAGGAATCCTGAGGCAAATTTTAAGTTATAATTGTCTAGATTGAAAGATCAAACCCCTCAAATTGTCCACGAAAACAATACTTTGGTCTTAGACAACTGGAAACTAGCAAACCCACAATTTCTCATAGAACTTATTTTTACAGCCTCCTTAAAATTCAAGAGTCCTATCTAGACTCATTTTCTTTAACATCTAATCTTGAGAACTAATTTAATCTAACTCTTTAGCGAAAAATCATGTCATCCATAACGTAACGTTGCTATCAATGTGTTAATCAGCAGTTTCTCAGTACATGTTATTTATGGTAGAGTTAGAAATGGATGAGAAAGTGAAGATTGGCCCAAAAAGTTTGAAGAATTATTTGCACAATTGAAACCATTTCACAGATTATATTTGTGCAGAAGTTTCTGTACTGTTTTATCTTTTCAATTATTAACCACGATTTTTTACGCTGGTTTCCTCGATTGGAAGAGAAGCTAACAATTACCATCTACATTTTAGAGGGACGAAACTTCCCATGGTTGTCCTAGGATAAGCGTCATGCTGTCCACCACAATCCTCTTACCAAAAAGGATTATTGCCTTTTCCACTTCATGTGACTACATTCGCGAAGAAAAATTTCCGTGCTTTTTCAACTAGTACAATGGCGGCTGGATATCCTACGGTTTCTTTATGTTTTCGTACTATCCATCATAGTTATATCAATCACTGAACCAAGAACTCTACGTGAACACTCTATTCTAGCCCCGTTTTTATCATAAATTTTATCAAACGAAAGATTCAATTTTTGTTGCAAAAAAAATCACACAAATTAGCCTTGCATCTAATCCATACATGAACACACGATAAATGTATTAGATCAAAACCAAGAACTCTACGTGAAGACACTATTCTAGCCCCATTCTTACTATGAATTTTATCAAACGACGTGAACACATGATAAATGTATTAAATTAGCAATAAATTTTCTGTGAGTTATTTGCAACAGTTAATAGCAAGATTCATTTACATACCGTTTTAAGTAAAACTGGGCGCAACCGTACAATTACACATTTAAATTTCAGTTTAATCGCGGTCGCCCAAAGACGACACAATTCGGTTCGCGTATCTATTCTCAAACGGGGGTTAGATTTTACAATTCCCCCACTCGTATCCATAAATTCGATAAAATCAAACTCAACGCGAGGAAAATTAGAGCGTACGTGTCCGACTTTCTTCCAGAAGTTTCCTCCCGAATGGACGTCGCTGAAACTTAACGGAGATCCGTGTTCCAGCGAGCGGGTAAAATTTGGAATTGAACTGTAAATTGAAAGCGATGTCGTCGTCGGACGGGAACACCGTGATCTCGGTCTTCGTAGCATATTTGATAAAATCGCAGTCGATGCGTAGCCGGAGAAAATACGCGAAACTCGCTCGTATCTAATCCCGTATTAATCTTTATCCCGAAATATTACAAATAATTCCGCCTGGACGTTCGTCCGTGATTCATTTATTCAACGTCATATTTAATATCGTACGCGTAATAAATATTCATTTACCGAATCCCGCCCATCGAAGTGCAACGCTTCGATCTACAGTTTGCAATTAATCTTTTCGATCGTCGTCGAGCTAATTGAATTAATTGAATACGATCCGTTCGCATGTCAGGAACGAAATTAATGCGGGCCACGGGTAGAAAGGCGGTCCCGTTGGCGCAAAAACGACGTTTGATGCGGGGGCGGTTTTTGTTTTCGTGAAAACAAAAGTGCCAGCCGGGGGGTTAAGGCGGTGGCTTCGCGAATGCAAATATAGCATTATCTCGCGAACGATATTGTATTGCATTATGTGCTCCGTGATAGACGGTGGATTTCAGCTTTATGCGCGTCTCTCGTTAAATGTTTCATTACGCGGTAAAAGCGTGTTGTTAGGAGTTGGTTTCCTTGAGCGCTTTTAGCGGCCGCCGCGAACCGCCCTTGCGTTCGCTCTCCGCCTTGCAATCCGTTTCTGCCTGTATATAAACCAGGTATAAGAACTTGGAGTCGGTATCGTAACGGTCTCCGGGCTACTCGCGAGATGCTGCGCCCCGAAAGAATTTCGCTACTTAAATATTTCCGCCGTGAAGTGGATACGGCGGTCCTACGGTTCGTTTAATGCGGCCACCGTCTTCCATTTGGTTTCATCTCGTTCCGTCGTCGTAAATTTCAATCAGTCGCGCGGTATTGTATTCCCGTAAAGCATCTCAACATTATCCTAGCGTTATTGTTATTTGAAACAGAGGCTGCCGGCTCTTTCTGTGTTTACATTGAATGGAGTATAATTAACTTTTCTCGTTGTAAAGATTAATTCGCATTCGTATTCGTCGTTAATTTTAAAGCATTTGCATTCTGTCATTTTTAACGGAGGAATTAATTATACAGAAGCGTAACTGTACAGGAATACATACGTTCTTCTCTATTCATGAAAATTGGTGAATTCTTATTGTATTTTCATTGATTGTTTATGCTTAATATATAAAATATTTTAATCGGTTTTAAATCGTATATTTTATACAGGGTGTTCGGCCATCCCTGGGAAAAATTTTATTAGGAGATTTTAGAGGCCAATATAAGACGAAAATCAAGAATATTAATTTCTTAATTGAAGTTTCGTTAAAAAATTATTAAAAAATTAAATTAAAAAAATTTCAGATCATTCTGGAAAAATTATTTTCGGCTGCGGGGGTCAAATACAACCATTTTTGGTTCTTAGACATACTCCCGAATTCCTACGCATTTTCGAGAAAAAAATTTCTTACCGAAAATATAATGTCTGACCATATATTGACATGTTTCCCTGAAATTTCAAAAAAAATTTCAAATTGTTCTGGAAAAATTATTTTTAGTTGTGGGGGTCAATTACAATCATTTTTGGTCAATAGACATATCCACAAAATCCTACGCATTTTCGAAAAAAAAATTCGAGAAGGTGGACAATTTTTTCGACAAAATTAATAAATTTCAAATCATTCTGAAAAAATTATTTGCGATTGCGGGGGTCAATTACAATCATTTTTGGTCAATAGACATACCAACGAAATCCCACGCATTTTCGAGAAAAAAATTCGAGAAGGTGGACAATTTTTTCGACAAAATTAAAAAATTTCAAATCATTCTGAAAAAATTATTTTTGGTTGCGGGGGTTAGTTGCAATTATTTTTGGTGAATACACATACCCCCGAAATCCTACGTACTTTCGAGAAAAAAATTCTTTACCGAAAATATGATAGTTTTAATGAAGCCTCAATCAACAAATTAGTATCCTTGATTTTCATCTTATTTTGCTCTGTCGACCAGGGGTGGTCGAACACCCTGTATATGTGTTTGTAAAGTAATTTTTGTACTTAAATTCCGTATTAACATTTTCATACAAATTCATGAAAACTGAAATGCTTGAAAGTAATAAAAAACAGTGTATTCTATGGGATTTTTCGTGTGCACCGAGATAGCTTTGCTTGAAAGCCAATGATATTCAAATACCATTAAATAAAAAGAAAATCTCAAGAAGGTCCGTGGGAGTTAACTTTTCCATATTTACTTTCGTGTATTGTTTTCTCAAATAACGAGTTCAAATAAAAAAATATGCATCCATTAATATTGAATTCAAATATTTGAAATAATATTCCTCTATTTTAAATGGCAGTTCTAAAATGTATAAAACAAAATATAATTTAATTTCTAGTCAGGGAGGTTTGCTAAAAATATTTCAATATTAAAAAATATTTCTATATTGAAATATATTTTTAGACTGGAAATTAAATAATAATTTGATTAATATATTTTGAAACGTGTGAAACTCGTAGATTGAAAATACGAATCTAGTCGAGACGTCTCGATTCGTTTCATAGTATTAGATAACCCGGTATCGCAGATAATTTCAACCATAGTTGGTCGGATCGAACGAGATTGGACACTCTGTGCATTTAAATCGAATGCATACCGCGTAATCTGTGCACCTGTATCAATAGCTACGAACTCGTCCAGAAACAAATAGGCAATGTACTCACATTTGATGTCTAGATTTAGGGGGTTGCTCTCCCCTTCGCCTTCCTCGTTGTTACCGATGCAAGTGTAGATCCCGGCTCTGCTGCGGGTCACGCTTTGCAGCACCAGGCTTTGGCTACTGATTATCGTACCGGTCGCTGCATTATGAAACAACGAATTGCCCTGTGAACGCAAAATCAAAATATATTCGCATCCCTGAGCGTAACGGTGTGCTCCCAACGAGCGACGACGACGACGGATCGTTCAAACCTTCCGTTTCTCTCGATTTTCCCGATAGGGAATTCCGAAATCTAACATACATACGAGCAGAATTGCGCCCAGATATTTCAGCGACAGAGTCGAGCAAATTTCATTCACGGACAATAATTTTTCGTTCGTAAATTTTTGAATAAAATTCGACTAACTCTGCGCTCAATACAAGAATATCGATTATTCCCCTTGCTATTCCTAACGATATCCAAGGATTGTAACATCTTTTAGGGGTGGTTTTATACATAATTAAAATAAATATTTCCAATTTAAAATTTCGTATGTAACGTGTTTTATATAAAATACGAAGCATTCCTACATAACGTGGGACCTCGTTTTAAATTTCGTGTGTAATGTGTTTTATACAAAATACGAAGCATTCCTTTACATGCATAGGGTGTTCGAGCACCCCTGGGAAAAATTTTAACAGCAGATTCTACAGGCCAAAATAAGACGAAAATCAAGAATAGCAATTTCTTGATTGAGGTTTCGTTAAAAAGTTATTAAAAAATTTCCAATCATTCTGGAAAAAATTATTTTCTGTTGCAAGGGTCCATTACAATCATTTTTGTTCAATAGACATACCCTCGAAATTCGACGCACTTTCGAGAAAAAAATTTTTTACCGAAAATACAATGTCTGACCATGAATGATAATTCCCCTGAAATTCGGCAAAATTGAAAAGTTTCAAATCATTCTAAAAAAATTATTTTCTGTTGCACGAGACAATTATAATCATTTTTGGTGAATACATATACCCTCGAAATCCTATCCACTTTAGAGAAAAAAATTCGAGTAGGTGAGAAATTTTTCGGATGAAAAAAATTTTTCAAATCTTTCTAAAAAAATTATTTTCTGTTGCAGGGGTGAATTTCAATTATTTTTGGTGAATAGACATACCCCTGAATTCTTAGGCATTTTTAAGAAAAAAATTCGCCTGTGTTCGCAGATTGCCGTTCTACAGGCGGAACTTTAAACATTAATAACTTTTTAACGAAGCATCAATCAACAAATTAGTATTCTTGATTTCCGTCTTATTTTGGTCTCTAGAATCTCCCATTTAAATTTTTCCCAGGGTTGACCGAACACCCTGTATAACGTGTGTCCTCCTTTCACCGTTGAAAATTAAAAAATCGAGAAAGCATGATTAGAACGCGCGAACGCAAATTGCGTAAAAATTTGTCATTCCCGGCGAGTATCAAAAATGGCCATTTCCGTGGATTGTCCTCTCGCGATAAAGAAGAAAGGAAGTTCGCGGAAAAAAGATGAAGGGTCGCCGACAGTTTTTCAATTTCTCAACGGCCGCGGCGTTACGGCGCGACAGCGTCTTCCGTTTTCTTCTCTTTGGAGCGTCGGAAAGCTCCTTTGAATTCCCTCGAAACACACTGGCGGGAAAAGTAGAAATGTCCCGTCCCGTTCCGGTCGAATCAAACGAAGAATCGACAAAGACTTTCGTCCGGGACGTTTCCGCGAGTACAATGACATTATGATCCGAGGCGCGAGGAGAAATATTTATGGAACTCGTGCAATATACCGGGCACAAAGGTACGGCGTCTGCATTCGCTTAAAATAAATCTCTTTCCCGTGCGATGAAAGAGATCCGTAATCACACCGGGCGAAATTATATTTGTTTAAAGCCATCGTCCGGTTGTAAAGTTTCGACGAAACGCGCCGACCTGGCTGACAAGGGACCACGTTAATCGCTTTTTTATCGTTCAGACCCATAGACTGATAAAATTTCACCAATAAAAGTTGAGACACCCTGTACAATTCACATATACAATCTTGTTAAAGGTGTTGGTGTTTGCTGTAATCTGGAATAAGTATTATCATTAAAACTAGTGAAACAAATACAAATAATTAATAATTGGGACCACGTCCAATATCATCGAATACTCGAATAATGATATTTGAATACCCATGAAATATTCGAAATCCAAAATTTAGTCGAATTACCGCGTGTACATTTACTTTCGTTTGAGCTCGTTTGGAACGCGACAGCCTCAAAGGGAGGCACGATACCAAACGTGATGTCGGAGTTCGTACATTTTAAAACATTCACGATAAAACACGCTAACGAATAAGATATACGTTTTTCTCGTTTCTCGTCGGAGCCATGAAATTCAAAGTTTTATTAAATCATTAAAAACAGAACGGTAAAAGTTTAGTGTCGGGATATCTCGACCGTGCGCCCGCTTAGAGTTAATGACGATAATTCACGAAAAAAAGAGCCATAAAATTTAAAGAAGTAAGAACATTCGGGCTCACGGTATTTTCGCGGCGTTGCGCGGCGTATTCCGTCAAACGTTGTAACCTTGGATACTTTTTTTCTTTTTTTTTTTTTTATGTTTTATTCATGAGAAACTCGTTCATTTACAGATTGCATCGCGAGACAGTGAGTCACGTTTTACTATGTTTGTCCCTTTCGGCGGATCTCTGTTGTTTCTGTGCACACGGTCGCCTCTTTTATTAAACATTATACGATAACTCGAAACGGGCTCGCGCATATCGTATTTGTATTCATGGAGATGTCGGAGATTCTCGTTTTATGTAACACTTTGGAACAGCTCAATTTCCAAGCATACGTACCGTCCTTTATTTATCTGATTAGTAATTAACAAATTATGTAATATACGTTCTTTCTCTGTTATTATTTTTTTTTGATATTGAAATAAACAAATAAATAAAAGAAAAAAGGTTCCCCAGGATCCTCAAACCGTAATTAATTAATTCAATTTTAATTTTGAAGTTTCGAGTATTTGAAAATGAAATTAAAATAATAAGTAATTGCAATTCACATTGAAAAATTCATGAACACTTCAGAATAAAACAGACCTTCTGTGGTAAATAATTATTAATAATTAAATAAAGCTCCAATAACTGGAGAGGTATCAGTTGCAGATGTACGGTACAGCATGGACACGTTTGAATCGTTCCATAGGTAAACAGAAAGTAGAATTAACGTTCCCTTGGTACCGCCGCCCACAAATCAAATAAAACATAAAATCTTCCGTAGCGCGGGATATTCGAAACCGTACGATCTCCCATGAGAAAATTTTCTCTAAAACAAAATACGAGGAAAATATTCAGAGCGGTTGGATGAAGTTTACCCCGCGTTTGTGGCCCACCAGAGACTCTCGGTGGATTGTTGTATTAACTTGAGAATTCTTTATTGCGGATGGACAGAACGATGTTTGCTTGTTCACTCGTACTATTTTTATTGTTAAGGGAACGATCGGAATTACGTTATCAGAGGAACTCGACTAGCACTAAAAATAAAATTTTACGTTTCCTAGTTTCGAACATTGTTCTTTTAATTCTTGATAAAAACGATTCATCGCGAACTAATTCTATTCAGCATTTTAATTCCAACAAATTCATAAAATAAGATGGCCATGTCGAAAAATTTAATTTGCGCCAAAAAGAAATAGAACGTGATAAAGTTCATCGAACGAAAATGTACGCGCGAGATGTTCAAAAACGTGCAATCTTTTGCCAGAAAACATTATCGAAAATAAAATATACGCTCGCTAAGAACATGGAGAGTGGTTGGACGTGGCGTCCAGTGTTTGTGATCCATCAGAAACTCGCGGCGAACTGCACGCGTCAATATCAAACAGATTAATATTGAACGTGGGACCCGCTCGTCGGTAATCCTTAAACAAATCTGTCCCCGTGATCGCCGGCAGTTCAAAACCGATTGTGACCCGCACTATCGGCTCATAGTATCAGCCGGCAGAGAATTGACTCCATTTTCCCCATTATGCAGGGTATTTCGTAATATGCGGAACCTACTTCGTTGCCGGCGAGCAGATTAAAACAACGAAGGAAGGCTCGACAAATATTAACACTAAACTTACCGCGACCGGTCATATGACCGTTTTAAAAATTTCGATTAGAATTTCTAACACACAATATTATTTTAACGCCATTTAACTTCACGACTTTTCTTATAAAATACGTACAATGAATTTTACAATATTCACATCTATTCTTATTGTTTGTTTTCATCTGACCGGTCGAATGCTGTATATTTGAACTGGACAAAATTTGGTATCAAATTCTGGTTAGCCTCGTATAACAAAGACGAAAGGAGAGAATCTTCAGTTTCCACTGTTTTAGAACAGTCTTACAACGCGTATTAAAATAGTTAAATCGTTACACAATTATTTAATTTCCACTATCTTTCGGTCCGTCTTACGTACAATAGCCTATTAACGTGTATTAAAAATCACAAAACTTTAGAGGCGTGCAGTTTCTGAACTACTAAAGTTTTATTAATAATTAAGCCATCGTTAGCAGTGGCAAGGGCTCCCCTTTAAAATGGTTTTTGAATTTTGTCGATCGGACTTTCCGTTTTCGAGATATCGTAATTTATGTAAAAGGTAATTTTTCTTAATTCGACTGTCTCTGTCTCCGTCTGACGCGTCGCCCCGGACCTCTCTTTCTCGTACGTGACTCGTGACCGAGTGGTCGCGTGACCTACTTACTACGAGCACGTGCGGTCAACGACCTTGAGAAGGCCGTAGTAAGAATGTAAACAAACGCTTCGGACCCGGAACTAGCCACCGCATCGACTTGAAACTAAAATCGCTATATCTCCGGAACTAATAAAGCTATCGACTCGTACAAACGCTCATTTTAAAGGGCATTTCATCCCCTATCCAATGACTATACCAACTACTATAATTTATGCTGTCTTCCATGTTTATTTTGAAGTTTATTTTGACTCTAAATATCCAAAGAAGTGTCAGCAATTCCTACTGATCGTACGACTAGTGTACGATAAAACTGTATCATAAATTGTTTATTTGATTGAAAATTAATTTAAATTTAAATACAGGATGTTTGTGTAATTACTAGCCAGTACTTTTTTTTAAATAATTGTTTTCTCTAGAACTAACTACGGTATCCACTTGGAACAAAATTCGTTTTCAAGGGCGTTTCATCTTCTATCGGATGAAAATTAAAAAATTTTTTGGCGTAAAAGAGAAGGATATAAAACAACTTTCTGTTCATATAATGGAAAAATGATAAGTACGTTGCCTCGTAAATGAGGAAAAGAAAGACTGGTCGTTTGACTGGTCATGTTAGGAATGAGTATACGTGAAATGCCGGTAGGTTTAGTGTTAATTGTAAACTCATCTATTACGATACATTCTTAACTCCTTGATATTCCTCAATAATAGTAGTGATGTAATCTCTACGACATCCAAAGAGACAAATTGATTCAGAATCAAACTAAAACGATTATTGTCCCTTAACATATTGGGTTGGCTAAAAAGTATGTGCAGATTTTTACAAATGAAATAAAAAAGGAAACAGTGAGGTGCAAACCTGTAAAATTTTCATTATTAACTTGAATAAATGTCTCATCACTAAAAAAAAAGTCAGCTATACTAAGCGATTCGTTCAAACATATCTTAGTGTCCGAATATTTTCGTGGATCTCACTACGTATATAGAGATCTTATTTAAGCTGAAATAGACCTCCTCAGAGGTTTCAAATGCTGAAATAAAAAGGAAAGAGACGCATAACACGTCGATGTCTCACAGGCTTGAGAACAAAAACATACTTGGCCGCTGTTGACAAGCGGGAAAGCCAGTTCCAAGAACTGCCGGGAGACACCAATTCTCTAAACTCTGTTTACAACACTCAGAGTTTATTTCAACGACTTTGACCGATCATGCTCGAAACCGAGTCACCCAGGACGAGGAATATCGGGGAGTAGGGGAAGGTTCGAGCCTCTACCTGGCTTCCCTAGTCTCTAGGCCTCAGTCTCGCGTTGTTCCCACGATTAATCATTCGCAAACCAAGTACAATTCACGGTACCAGTGTTGTTTCGGCGATAGGCGCGCCAGAGCGTCTCATCAGGGGCGATTTCTATGCCAAAGAACCCCTCCATCGCGGGATGAGGTTCGAGGGTCGTACGGTGGCCTTCCTCAGGGTTACGTCAACAGTTCCGAAATTCGACGATAAATTTCTTATCGATACGGGCGGCTATTAGCTCAAAGAACGCTTACGCGGCAGTTCCCGGTCGCCCGGTATCAGCATGTAAATTTTAAACGGAAACTTCCGCGTCGCAGGTGCGCGTCCCGTCTCCCCCTTATCTCGTCTCCCGATTAAGCTTCAGCCACGGTTCTAAATTATCGATCCCGGGTAACTGCCACGCAGATTCGTTATCCGGCCCGCAACGGGCGTTTCGACGCTGGTCGTCGTCGTCGTTGTCGCCGTCGACGTGAACACGAACACAAACACGAACGGAGGGGGATATGGACTCACGTTATGCTGCCAGGAGACCTTGTACACCCAGGGATTGGACTTGATGTTGCACTCGAAGTAGACGTCGGTGCCCTCGCGGATTGCGCTCAAGTTCAAATTGCTCCCAAGCTCGAGCGTAACCACTGGCTTGTCTGAAAGTTTAACGGTACAGGCGTGTAAGAAATGGTCAAAGGTTTTGCCCGCGTGCTGCCTGCCTACAGCGTGCAAGAAAACATAGTTATCGCGTGCACGTGGTTCTTAGCGCGTGTGGCGATTTTACGCGATTTTACGCGAGTGTCGATCAGCGAACGTGGACTTGAGCAGATCACAGATTTCTTCGAGGGAAGAGATTCAGATATGTATGTACGATTCTTTGATTCGAAATAAACGTATGAAGTTTTCTTTTTGTGGACGCGAATAAAACCGACGGAACTTTCCGCCGTGCAGTCGGCGTGTTAATAATTATTATACGTATGTACGAGCAGAGTTTGCATGGTAAACAATCGCCACTGGCCAACATTCTCAACGCAAACAATTTAAATTCCCACTACCACGCGATACGATATTGCCCGGACCGACAACAACAAAATCAATTGTGCTCGTTAATCCTTCTTGGCCGGTTCCCTCCGGCAATCTGTTCGGGATCAGAAAGCTAAACCAAACTGGACCAACGTTTCCCTGGTTTAATCGCGCAACGTATCCACGGCCGCGATTCATTCAAGGATGAACGTTCCGATGCCGCGAGACCGGCGGGATATCAATAATTTCGCCGCAAAGTCCACACACTGGTCATCCTAAGTCAAGTATCGTGGGCTAAGGTACACCTCGACAAGCTCGTTATTATGGACAGGCGAAATAGGGCTTCGCAAAATTTACGCGCGGAAACTAAGATAAATGTCCTAATGAACCTCTAACTATTCCGACATGCGTGTTGTTTCCGGCAACGCGAAAGTTTAGCTGAAAGGAGCCCACTTCTCCATGGGCTTTTAGATTTGATTAGAAATACAGATACATAATAGAATTTCTGGAGAAAAATTAATAATTGAGTATTTCAAGTGAAACTTTTTCCATTGCGTTGGCATTTTAAGTTGTTTCAAAGGGCAGTTTGATCCCTTTAAAATGCTTTGTCAGTGTTTGAAACATGTTCTGAATTTTCTGGTTGGATAATTTCCCTTGTTAGTCAATTTCGATGAACACGTTCGAGCTATGCGCCCTTTATATATACAATGCTATAGGGGGTAGGTGGTGAAATTTTTTGGCAAAATTAAAAAATTTCAAATCGTTCTGGAAAAATTATTTTTGGTCACAGAGGTCGATTACAATCATGTTTGGTCAATAGACATACTCCTGAAATCTTACCTATTTTCGAGAAAAAAATTCAATAAGTAGATAAATTTTTCGACAAAATTAAAACATTTCAAATCATTCTAAAAAAATTATTTTTAGTTGCAGGGGTCGATTACAATCATTTTTGGTTAATAGACATACCCCTGAATTTCTACCCACTTTCGAGACAAAAATTGAATACGTAGATAAATTTTTCGGCAAAATTGAAAATTTTCAAATCGTTCTAAAAAAAATTATTTTTAGTTGCAGGGATCAATTACAATCATTTTTGGTCAATAGACATACCATCGAAATCCCATGCACTTTCGAGAAAAAAATTCTTTACCGAAAATATAATGTGTAGCCAGAAATGTTCTGTAATTTTATTTTCTATCTCACTTTCTCTTTTGTTCATTTCGATAAATACCCAAATTAGTTTTAAAACGATACACATACATAATAGAATTTTGGGAGAAAGTTAATAATTATGTATTTAAGTTGAAACTTTTATTCACCATTTCAAGTTGTTTCGAGGGGTACTTTGATCCCTTTAAAATGGTTTTTCAGCGTTTAAACAATTTTCTGTATTTCCTGGTTCGATAATTTCCCTTGTCAGTAAATTTCAACGTATACGTTCCTTCATAGGTAAAATGCTATAGTGATTTTAACGTCCAGTCTACGAAGTGCTCGTATATTCGATAAATACCCAATTAATTTTTAAAAAATACAGACACATAGAATTTCTGGAGAAACATTAATAATCGAGTGTTTAAGGTTTGGTTTTAATTTCTTTCTACATTGCATTACAATTTTAAGTTGTGTTGGGGGTAGTTTGATCCCTTTAAAATGTTTTACAGCGTCTAAACATTTTGAGAATTTTCTCTGTTATTCAATTTTAACGAACATGTTCGAGCTTTGCGTAAAATACTATAGTGATTTCAGTGTCGAATCTGCAAAGTGCACGTATATTCGATAAATACTCAAATTCATTTTATTTTTTAACAGAGCCTCGCATGACAAAATGTCAATTTTCCATACATTTCGTCACTTGTAACGTCAATAAAAGATTACTATAAATAGAAAATTGATCCATAACACCGGAATAGCATCGAAACAGGCTGGTGAGCAATTCGCGTTCGAATTTTCAAATATTAAGGTCCCCGAAAAAAGGTACCTCGACAAACGTGTTAAAACGGTTAAAATAATGACAAAGTCGCGCAGAACTAACGTCTCCGGCTAAACTAACGCTACCAACCCCCCAAGGGATCTCTTCTTTGTTGTCGAGTTACACCTACAAATATCGCGACACCCGCCCCCGGACTCATCCCCGTCGCGGCTATATAACGAATACGGGTGTTATGCAGACCTCCCGTTCCTGCCACGGTTGCTGGAGATTAACGCCGTGATTTTACTGTCCAATATAAAAGTTTTTCCCCCGTCCCAGGGCGGCGAAGAGCAGAGGGAGAACCACGCCGCGAAACGGGAGAGCGAACGAGAGGGAGAGGACTGGAGATCAGCTCAGCTCCACGGAAATTAATGGTACATGCCGATCCACGGCTAAAGATTCTCTCGTTTTCTCGATTTTCTTCTTTCCGTTCGTCCGGTTCGCTCTCTCGTTCCCGTTGCCCGGTCGATGCTTCCCATCTCTCTCTCTCCCGGCCTTGTTCCACGATCCCATCGGTCCGTTTCGCTCGTTTTTTCCACTAGAGTTTCGCGCTGCCCCTGGAAGTACGATTCCGTGCCTTTCGTGTCTCTCTCTCTCTCTTTCTCTCTGTCTCTCGCGGTGGCAAAAATCTCTTCCTCCGTCCCTCTCGTTTTCGCGTTTTTTTCCATTAGCCGCGTCGGGCGGTAATTTCAGACAGAGAAAGAGGGAGAAAATAGCGAGGCAGGAAGAAGGAACGGACGGGGGCGGAAGAACAGGGAAAAATTTACTCGTTATTGCAGGCACGAATCTTGCGGCGGAATTATCGGATTTGTCCGGTGGACTCGTATTACCAGCAGCGTTTCGGTACGGGGGGAGGGAGGGAGGGCGAGAGAAATCATAAGCAAGACTCCGGGGGCCGGCGAACGTCGTGAATCGATATTGCGGCTGCTCTCTTTCGCGGCTCTTGTTTTTCCCCCCCTTTTTTCTATCTCTCTCTTCGCTCTTTTTTTTTTTGCTCCCATCGTCCGCCTCCCAACGTTCGATTTTCAGCGGAGGAACGATATCGAACGGTCACGGGAGAGCGGATTTCTTGCTAATAGCGAGGCGGAGATCGAGCGTGAAGCCAATACGCGGTTCCCGGGGGCTGACAGAATCCACCGGCTGAAAAAATTCCGACCCTCGACCGAGACCTCCATCCCACCCCCACCTTCTTCCGCGAAGGGCGATGCGAGTTTCAATTTGAAACCAAACGAGCGCGTCCTTCCGCGACGGGAGTTCCGGACCTTCGCGTCCGGTGCGGATTTGGTAGGTGCAATTTGAAACGGATCTGTCGGAGCGGACAGTAGTACCTCGCTTCGTGGCGAAAAATTGGCCCTGTTAGAATGAATTCTGGTTCGAGACGAGCTCCAGTTGGTCGCCTATCTTTTCGATGCCACAGTGTATCGAGTATATTGATATGTTAGTCATATTTATACATTGCAACGTATTTTCAACGTAATTTTCAACGTAAAATAATTAAGACAAATGTTGAAATACGCGACATCTTCTCACCTGTGAAGGCGACACCTGTTACATAGTCGATAAAGTAGAACGAAAACAATATGTATAAAGAGATGCTCCAACTCTGTTTAAGCGAATTATCTCAAGTTCACGTAGAAGGTGTGCACAAGAAAACACGTGTCTCATTATACTGTATTATATATTCGCTTTTAATTCTGTTAAACTTCTCCTCGGTATATTCAATAAATAAAAGGGTGTTGGTTATTTCTTCCTACGTAATTATCTGCCAAGAATAATAAATAAGTAAATATAATACAGACGAAACAGACTACATATATTTTGAAATACAGGTAGCCCTCCTACAACACAACGTCCTATAACACGGTTTCGCTATAACACGATTCATAAATTGCGAGAACCCTCCTACAACACGGCATCTTATAACACGATAAGAAAATTGCGAAAACCTTTGTACAACACTGTACTTCTACAGCACTGGATAACATGATTTTTGTGTAATATATTTGAAAACTAAATTACCTTAAAATAATGAACTCTAGTGGCTTTACATGAAAATATATAAACAAATTACAATTTATTAAATTAAGGTTGATTTAAATTAAAATAATACTTTTTGTTTTGTGTTATACATATATTTTTCATAAAAATTAAGTTGCTTATGTAGAATTAAAAAAAAATATATATTTTTAATAAGTTTTCGGAAACTCCCCTTTCTGTACTGGCTCTAAGTCTCATATAACACGGTTTCACAGAACACGACATTTTCTAGGAACCTATCTACCGTGTTATAGGAGGGTTACCTGTACATTTAAATGTAAATAAATAACAAGCAGATAAAACATTCACAAAGAAATAAAATTCATTGTTTAAATGGTTTGTAGTGATAACTTTGTTATTAGTTATTATTGCTTACCGATTTTGAGAACAAATTACCTCAAAAAAGAGGACTCGGAAGCAGATCAAATAGATACCAATTCGAAGTATATAAAAAGGATGAAATTTAGTTCAAAAATGAATTATGATAAAAAAGTAATATGATTAGAATCATTGGAACTTATCCATATCTTTACACGTGAGAATTTTGGATCATTAAAACTAAAGCAGACCACTTTAAAAATAATAACTTGCTATTTATTAACTATTCAGGCTTGTGTGATTTTTCTACGTTTTTGAACATAATTATTAACCTCAATTTATGTTACCAAGTTACGACGTTTACGTATTAGAGGAGTGTTTACTATCAATCTCATGAAATAAAATACAAAATTAAAACATTTTTATTTTTAATCGATGAGAAAAAATGAATCGTAATAATGTATGTATGCATGTACTAGCTTAAATATTACCAAACGTAAAATGTCTGATTTTTGAGAGCTTGGAATTGAGAAGTTTGGATTCTCTAACAATACTTTCCTTTATAGAAGCAATATTCTCTTCAGCTTTGTGTACTACGATCAACAGTCGAAGTGCTGGTAAATTTTTCCATTAAATCTCTTTCAAGATAGAGTTTAACTTCTGTCACAATGCAATATTTTGCCCAACATTAACTAATCGTTAAGATGGTGTATTTTGCTTTTCTATCAACGGAGTATTATCGAGTTTCGTTTATCAGTATAGGTTCCAACCGAGTTAAACGATGGACAAAATGAACTGTCCAATCCTCCGAGTTAATAGGAAATAACGCTTCATTGGGTCAGATTTCACATGGTTCATTTGGTATCAATTGCATCGTGAGAGTCGTACTAACATCCTCTCGTGTTCGCTTTATCCGTTTCGTTGGTCACTGACGATCCCCAAAATTTCGTTTCTGCCCGCTATGAAAACTGGAAAGAATTCGTTTGTTCGTTACACGTTTCGCGCCCGGATCGCCACGGGAGCGTATGGTCCAGTGGTTTTTTATATGAACCGTAATCGGCTGCGCGAACTTTGTATTTTGAAACGTGGCGTCGAGGATCGTCGAACTCGTCTCGAAAAACCATTGTTACGTATCGGTAAAACAATCATTAAAGTGTTAAAAAGGACTCATTAATATGACCTTATTGATCTCAGAATTTCTCAAAAGTCAAACTAATATAGACCACTTTCACATTTAGAAAGAAACAATTTTATATGCCTTCTTTATCAGAAAAAAACAAATGATTCATTTTCTATTTAAAAGAATAAAAATGAATAGAATAAATTTAGTCCATATAAAATAGATTAATTTTTATGTCTATCCCAAAAGATAAGATTAAAATCTAATAATTAAACTTCAGGTTATCAAATTTGATGCATTCATTCTAAAGCATATAATTTTAGTCAAGCATACACGTTTTAACTAAATTTCTCTAAATTTTGTTATATAAGAAAACATTGTATTAATAAAGGATACGTATATAAGGAAATACAGAGAAAGGTGAAGAAATGTGCATAAAAATATCAGGTTATTTTGCAAAGACACGAAGAAGTTTGTTCCACCGAAGCGTAACATGTTCCATTTCTCCGACAAAAAGTTCTCTTGGCTGCTTACGGAGCCGGAGCTGCGTCGTTCGACTTGTGCAGTGACTTTTTGCCCCCGTTAAATCGTTCGTGTTTGAATATTTCTTTGGTCGAAACAGCGCGCCCCATACCCGATAATCATCCTTCTGTAATTGTCTGCTGCGCCAATATTCTCGCAGCACTCAAGAGTCCGACGACGGTTCGCCGTTCTTTCAATATGCTGTCTTCCACCGGGACAGCCGTCTTGGCAACTAACCAGAAGACTATAAACTGAACAGAAATACTTGGATCCCGGGCGGCGGTGATGCCAAATATTTAAAGTAAAATTCCTCGATGTACGCGTCTGTTCCGTCCGTGTCACGCGGCTCTTTTCACGTTTGCGTCTTTTCCTATTGAACGATTCTGCTGTTTTTTTGCCATTTCGATGCCCCGTAAAGGGACAGCTTTACGTTTAAGAAAGTTCACGTCGAATCCCCTTTCGCGTATTGTAAGAATGCATCCGTTCCTATTCGCGTTATTTCGACGATAGAAGAAGAATGCATTGAGTCAATCTCGATTCAAAGGGGCAAATATTATAATATAATAACAAAGGGAAATATCCCACCAGTTAAAGATTAACGTCTAAAAATTAAATGCCACGTCGTCAAATTCCTCCAAAATGACCAAATGCACTTAATGCATTAATTTTATTTAAAGGTTGTTTCGGGAAAAGATTCTCAAGTACACCTTGAGTCGTTGGTTTAGAAATTTTGAAGGGTCCCGAAAGAAGTAATTAAAATTTTAATTAAACCGAATAAACTTAAACGGGAAAATTGACTCGAAGAATAGACGCTCTCGACACGCGTTTCACATTAAGCCCCGGCGCTCGTCGTCGCCGCGGAAACTTCGAAAACCTATTTCGGCCCCGTGGCGCGAAACAATCGCTCCTAGACGCGCTATCTATCGATTACGCGAATTAAATTACGTTCCGTGCGGCCTCGTAATAAATCGCTCATCAACCATATTTCATTTTTATTGGACAGCGGCGCGGCCGGTTTCTACCCGCGGACGAGACGCCGCGAAAACGGAACAAAAAATACACGCGATCGGGGATTTCGAAATTCCGACCGTCAGAAAACCAATCGGACCGATTTACCTCTGTTACGCAAAATCGATCGAATCTTCGTGTCTTTGCAAAATTTCGAGACAATTTTGTTTCACCCTTATATCCTCTGGAACAACTGTTTGTTGCGAATTATTATTTATTTCAAAATTGAATGATTTCAAATTGAAAACAAAATGACTTGCAAGGGAAAACACCCAACCAGGAAATTCAGAAGATTATAAAACTTTTTTAAGCACTATTTTTATTGTCCAAAGTCGCCCTAAAATTCCTTTATTTTATAATTTCATTTTGTAACCTATGAACAGTATAGAATTATTAACTGTTTATCAAGAAAATGTTAATTTGTTTTTAAACTCTGAACTTATACTTTTCCTTTAAAAAGTACACCTGAAAACACCTTTCAGCTTAAGAATTTTTTTAAAAACAGTTCTTGTGGAACAGATTAGATATTTCAGGCTTTTTATAATGAAAGTTTCGTGGAAACGATCTTGCAGAAATTTTATTAGGCAAAGTTTCATTAAACAAATAACAGTAATAATACAATTATAGTAAAACAGGACTTTCGAAACCGATAAAGACTTCCAAAGCGTATCGAGAGCTTTCGATCGACGCAAACAAGAATATTTGTGCTCGTTGCGCCAAGGACTTTTATTTATACTTATAAATTTGATCGAAACTAGAACTTATATTTTCAAGCACTTTTGTTTATCCGTTCTCATAGAAACTTATAATGTGAAAACTTTTACCATAAAAGTTGCGTTTCGATTGTTCGAACGGAATCTATTGAAAAAGTCCCGTAACTGTTTCGACCCCCGGCTTCCAGTCGTTAAGCTCCGATGATTACTGCATTTTTTATACACGGTGTTCGGCCACCCCTGGGAAAAATTTAAATGGGAGATTCTGGAGACCAAAACAAGACGAAAATCAAGGATACCAATTTGCTGATTGAGGCTTCGTTAAAAAGTTATTAAAAATTTACATTAAAAAATTTCAAATCGTTCTGAGAAAATTATTTTCAGTTGGGAGGGTCTATTGCAATCATTTTTGGTGAATAGACATACCCACGAAATCCTACGCACTGTCGAGGAAAAAATTCTTTACCGAAAATACAATGTCTGACCATACATTGATCGATTCCCCTGAAATTCGACAAAATTGAGAAGTTTCAAATCGTTCTGGAAAAATTATTTTTGGTTGCAGGGGTCAATTACAATTATTTTTGGTGAATAGCCATACCCCCGAAATCCTGCCCACTTTCGAGAAAAAAATTCGAGTAGGTGTGAAATTTTTCGGCTGAAAAAAAAATATTCAAATCGTTCTAAAAAAATTATTTTCGGTTGCAGGGATCAATTACAATGATTTTTGGTCAATAGATATACCCTCGAATTCTTAGACACTTTTGAGAAAAAAATTCGTGTAGGTGGACAAATTTTATTAATAATTTGTTGAATAACTTTTTAACGAAGCCTCAATCAACAATTTACTATTCTTGATTTTCGTCTTATTTTGGCCTCCAGAATCTCTCATTAAAATTTTCCCAGGGGTGGCGGAACACCCTGTGTATAATACTATTTGCTTTCCATGCTTTGGAAAACACTGGTCCGTTCGATCAATTTTCTGCGTCTCGTGCACGACTATCGATTCGAAGGGTAAACGAGAAAAAGGTGCACGAGAGACTCGAACGTTCTCAAAGACACGGGCGACAAAACGTCGAAGAGCTTATTCTATTTACGTTGTCGGTTGTTCGGCCACCTGTCGTCGAGACGTTCCCGTGTTTCGTCGCGAACGGTGGCTTTACATTTATATGAAACCCCGTAGGGGAGAACACTTACAGAGTATGACGAGCTTCCATTCGTCCTGCATCTCGGAATCCGGGATATCCGGCACGCTACCGCGGCAGGAGAGGAACTTGCCAGCGTCCTCGATGCTTGGCACGAAGGTGAGAGTGCTCGTGGTGACGTTGTTGTCGGGGCTCGTCTGCGGGATAGCTTTCATGAATTTAAAACAGTTTACCGAACGGTTCGGTAATCAGACTGGGGGCCGCAGAAAAAACAAAAAGCCATCTCCTGCGTCGCGACGCCGCGCCAGGAAGTCAATCCTCCGGAGCTGATCGCGGAGATGAACGAAATTCTTATCTATAATACATCGAGCTACGAAATTATTCGTACCAGCGTATTCTATATTATTTCACTGAATTTTAGAAACGGTCATATCATCTCTTTTATTATTTCTACTGTTTTTTCCCTTATATATTACTTCTTTTTGCGTTAAAAATAACTGTATAATATATGTCAATGTAATTATTTGAAAATTTATTAGTTCGTTTTTTTTTAAATGATTTAGAGGAAAGTTGAGTAAAATAATTCAGTTGAGATTTAGAGTCCAAGAGTTGAAGGGAGTTTCTATAATAATAATAGAATGTAGATATGAATACACTAATTGGGAATAGCAAATGTTCATATCAACTAGATGATTTTTAGGAAAATATCAGATAATGACTTTTAACTAGATAGAAAAATAAAGAAGCCTCTGACTAGTTTATTTTGTTATTCGAAAAGAAGCAAAAAAATTGTAATTTTCACAAGGAACGAATGCCTCATATATCCATTACTGTTTAGCCGTCTAATCGAAATTGTAAATAGTAAATTATAATTAGTAATTATAATAGTTATTTGAACAACTGTCTGTTCGTTATGTTTGACTCGAATAAAAATTTCGCTCATCTCTGATCGATCAAGCGGGGACGCCCGCGTCGCGGAGATTTCCCGCAAAATATCGAAGAATTGACTCGACAGAAGCGAGAAATATTATGATAAAGAAGGTTTTTTCACCCCCATCGTCTTCGGATAATTAAGTTTCCCGCCTCGAGGGCGGAATCTGTTCTCCGACATAATGCCGTCACTTCTCTTCTTACAGCGCGATAATTGAACATTATCGAAGGAAAATATTATAGCTAGGATCCATTAAACGCGAAATATATGGCGTCACTGTTCGTTCGATGTTTGTTTCGCGATTTAACCCTCTCGAGGGCAAAGAAGTTAATCTGAACGAATCTCGAAGGAAAAATAATTTCTGAAATATTTTATTTTCCATATTTTGAGAATATTTGGGTAGTCTGAATCTTGTTTGGAACGTTGCTCTGAGTTCTTGCGAAGAGATCGTCGATGCAACGTTGAAGTTTGCGTTTTCATTAATTTATGTGCACGTTTTGCTAGACACCCCACGTATGGTCCATCGTGACGACAATTAAACAGAGATTTACCGTCTCCCACGCATTCGTCAGCGTGGTGCTCCCCTTCGACCAGACGATCTTTGGCTCTGGCCTGGCTCCGACGACTTCGCAACTGATTTCGTACTTTTTGCCGGCGCTGAGTGGACGGTTCGTTCCTTGCAGGCGGACCCACAATGGTTTCACTGAAACACGCGTACCATCCATTAATAGCACCTACGTTCAAAGAACTATGGTGAAGATCCCGCGGCGCGAGTGTTTGCATAATCGTTTCGAATTGTATTCGACGGCGGTAGTTTGGGAACAGTTAATGGAAATAAAAGCGTCCAGAAGTGCATGAACCACACTGACTACATCGAATGCTGGTTAAACATTTATTTTCGATAAAATGTAAGGCGAGCCTCCCCCTCGATTCTATTCAAATACACTTTTCGTTCGAGGAACGGGGTTGGTTCGCGCTTGTAACATTTTTCATTTCCATTCCCCGTTTAATATTAAATGTTTATTAGACGTCGTACGACGAGCGAGAAAAAAATTTCATTATGAAACATTAAATGCATCGCTCGGTGCATGCTTCTATGAATGGAGCCATTTTAATGAATTTCAAGACCGCTTCTAGGCTTTCTAATCGTACTATTTTTTATACACCAGTCAGTGAGTCTTTTTATTATTTACAAGAAAAATCGAAAAATGTTTTAACTTCAATTTATCACTTTTAATAATTTGTGTAATTCAAAGGGGATCTTCTGATTTGCAACGCGACAAAAATATCGTTTTTCAAACAGGTATTCCAGACTTAAATTAATTACTCATTACTAGACTGCGGATATTTATGCATTTATGGGAAATTTAGATTGTCAAAAAACTATAGAATGCATTTAATATGCAAAAATATAACAAAAACTCAAGTAAGATAAGAATTATTGTATTTAGGGGTTGAAAGACCCCTCTACGAAGCTCTTATTTTATTAATTTTATTAATAAATATATGAATTTGCATAAAAATCCGCAGTCTACTCATTACTGAACATTTACTTTAGAAAAATTCTAAACAGTTTCACGCTTTTTGAAGAGCACTTTGAGAAGAAATTAGTTCGATTAGAGTACTCACGGGTCATGTTCAAGGTGACAGAGCTCGATATGGGCGTGACCATATTGTTGTTCGATGCCTGACAGGTCAATACCGCGTGCAGATGTTCGCGGGTCAGCTTTTCCAATCGCAGCACGTTACGGACCCTCTTGGTGCCGATGGTCTCGTAGACGTCGTCCAGGAGAGCGTTTTCCTGCCACCACGTCACCCGCGGTTGCGGTCGTCCTGTCGAAACGAAACGGAGAGAAGTCGGTTAGGGCGGTCCTTTCGTTTCCAGCGTCGATTCGGCGCTGACTCGACTCGTTTCGACGGTAAACAAATTCAATAAAACACCATAGACAGGATCTATAGGGGGAACTACGGGGATACGTATCGATTACTAAGCATCGCGTTGTGGTATGAAACGGATATTAAAATAAGTCCTGACTGACATTAATTAGCAGGTTTCTTGACGTTTCTTGCGGTATCGATTCAACACAAGAGTTAACTTGATTATGAATTATTTAATTGGAAATGAATTTAGAAAAGTTTTACAAAGTTTATAAAATGAAGTATAATATACGATTAGTATTTTGATGCAAGTTTATGTCTTTTATTTAACACAGTGTTATGAAAATTTTTGAGCTAATAATGTAGTAGGAATTTCTATACGTTTTCTTATGAACTTTGTGATTTCACCCTGTAAATATGAATTTATTTTGACTCAAGATATGAGTCAAGATAAAAGAAATACATGTCAAATAATGTTTTATGTTTTGGAGTAGGTTTGGAATAGGAAGAGATGTGTTCAATAGAGATTTCGTGCAAAGATCAATGAAAATTTCTGCAGGCTATTTGTATGATTTAATTACGAATAATTTATCTAAATGCATTGGATTATATTTCATTTATTTTTGATACGTTTTAATAAACCAGCCACTTAATGGCAAAATATTTTACATCGTTTCTATCGCGGAAAGAGTTGGGTTGGGGGAACGTAATTCGATTTCCACGATTAATAGACTATAATCGAAATCGGATAAGAGGGTCGTAATAAGAAAGACGTCCCTCGAAAAAAGGAAAATTTCAGTGGTCATCAGGAAACCGGTACGGTTCCATAAATACCGAAACACCAATATCTGGTTCTCGGATGATCGATCGCAATACGTCCGGGGAGAACTTATTTGCCCTATTGCACCCTTTTCCCGAGGTACCCTCGGATTCTGCGGTTATTGCACGCGAAATGTATTATAATTCTGGACAGAAATACGTCAGAGATACAGAAAGTATAGCGGTCCGCTTAAAGATAACATTTTGAAAGCATCCTCGAGGGAATCGACAATGGTAAAAGAAAAAATACGAAATAACAGCGAACAAAAATATAACGAATTTACACGGTGCACGAAAGTATTAAAGGAAAAATTTTATCGAGTCTATGGTATTACAATATCCAAACTTTTCTATTATCATTAATTTTTTCAAAGTAGAACAGAAATTTGTTCGTAATGTTATTATCTTGCAGTGGATTTGTGAATTTTCCCCCGTTATCTCCGCTCGTGAATAACAGACGAGAAAAAAAACTGAATAGTCGTGTTTGCGTGTATATTTTTTCTATGATAAATAAGAGAAACGATACAAATATTTAAAAATAGGAATCGATGCCGCGCGGGCGAAATAGGAATTTCAAATTTCCGTTCGATATTTTTCGCCGTGCACGGTTCCTGCCGGATCCCCGGTTTTTCTATATTTTCTAGTTGTTGTTTACGCGTGTCGGTCCAATCAAGAGTCATCGGAGGGGGATTGAAAGAGGTACGGGTTCTGAAATGATTAAACGGCGCGGGAAGAATAGCGTCGGTTTTGACCCGATCCGTTCGGGATTGTTTGCGTGTATCCATTTGCAGAAAATCTCGTCGTTGAAAGCTGCTGGTTAATGAAAAATTATTCTTCCCCCCGCAACGATTTAATCGTTTGACCGTGCACAATATTATGCGTACACAAACTCTCGTAGACGCTTTTGCATTTTGTATTAAATATCACAATTTTTACGAGTGTGAGGCTTTTCTGAACAGTCGAGTGTGCGTAATTATGAAACTTGTGGGCTATATAGGATCCTTATGTTCAAGAAATAGTGACGTTGACAACAAACGTCGAGTATAGCGCATTTGGTATTAAATATCACAACTTTTATGAATGTGAGGCTTCTCTAAACAGTCTAGTTTCGCAAAATTATGAAATTATGGGCTGTACACGATCCTTACGTTTAAGAAATTGTGACGATGACAGCAAACGTCCAGTCTAGGGCAGTTCCTATTAAATATCACAGCTAATACGATTGTGAGGCTTCTCTGAACAGTCGAGTATGTGTAATTAGGAAATTTGTGGGCTATATAGGATCCTTACGTTCAAGAAATTGTGACTTTGACAACAAACGTCGCGTATAGAGCATTTCGTATTAAATATCACAACTTTTACGAGTGTAAATCTTCTCTGAACAGTCGAGTTGGCAAAACTATGGAATTGTGGGCTCTACACGATCCTTACGTTCATGAAATTTTGGTTTCCATACCGTGACGATGACAACAAACGTCGGGTATGGCGCTCGGTTACAAACGCAGACTGTTAAACGGTAATTTCACGGCGGAACGATCCACGGGAAAATGTCTCGCGACACGCGAGCTCGCGAGTGCAATAATGTCTCACCGCGGAAAGAGCACGAGACATTTCAGATTATGGCGCCGTAAGCCCTACGTCTGAAATTCCCTATAAATAAATACACCCTCGCAAATAATAAACGGCGGGAATTCTGCGGGAGCCGCGATGCGGTTTGCGGCGCGCTTTAACGCCGCCGAGGTGTGAATGCGGCAAACGGTATACGATCTCGTATAATGCACGTTCAAACGTATCGGGCGAGTCGCGGAAAATAAACCACTTCCGTAACTACAACGTTCTTGAAGATGGGAACATAGAATCTCCACGTGTAAATAAATCTGTGAATTTAGATAGATACGTTTGTCATTGTGTTTTTTTTTTTAAATTTCTGGGTTTGTCTTTCAAACTCATCGTGTTAAAGTTTATTAAAAAGTCGGTTACTTTGGAACCTTCACTTGTAAAACTTTATTTATTTGACTGTGATCATTATCGAATTAAGAGTGACGTTGAACAACATTTTTCTGTAGGATAAAAATCATTTTTATAGCAAGATTTCAGTTTCTTTAGATTTTTATTAGACGAAATTTCGTAATAAAAGTAGCTTTTTAAAGACTGATTTATCGTTTAAAAATATATAAGTGACACAGAGAATTGTAAATGTTTATTACAAGGTCTCAGTTTATTTAAATTTTTTCTTTACACTAGACGAAATTTCGTAATAAAAGTAGCTTCTTAAAGACTGATTCACCGTTCAAAAATATATATAAGTGACACAGAAAATTGTAAATATTCATCACAAGATCTCAGTTTATTTAGATTTTTCCTTTATATTAGACGAAATTTCATAGTACAAGTAGCTTCTTAAAGACTGATTCATCGTTCAAAAATATATATAAGTGTCACAGAAAATTGTAAATGTTTATCGCAAGGTCTTTCACTCTATTTAGATCTTTTCTCCATGGTGTACGAAATGTGATAAAATTAGTTTGTCAAAGATCGATTCGCTATTTAAAAATATATAAGTGACACAGAAAATTGTAAACAAGTAGATCGAAAGAATTAGGAGTAAAAGCAAGAGACAATACCGTTGCGTACTTCGAAAATATAGACAGTGTAAGGAAACGTGTGAACGAAAGACGTACTAAAGTTCGTCTTTCAACGCTTGCTTTCGAAGCATATATACAAAGGGAAGGTTTGAATGGAGTACAAGGTAACTTCCACGGTAAGAGATAGTTTAAACTGCAATGGAATTATTTGGACGTAGAGAGAGGTAACGTTTCTACTAAAGTAGGATCTTCTTAAGTAGTACGACTTCGTGAACAGTCAGACAGCTGCGAATAGTTGGGCTGACTTCTGTCTACTTCTATATTTCTCTTTATCATTCCCTCCCGCGATGCAAAACTCGCTGCTATTTAACTTATATTGTTTGTCTAAACGTGTAATTCGCGTGACAATGGCTTTTACTTAAACAATTAAATAAAAAATTATTATACAAATAGAAGCAGATTTCAATGGAAACCAATTGTTTTATAAAGTTATTTTTGCTATCGATACGGTCGAGTTAGTAAATTCCTTTTATAGTTGAATAATATTTCAAGGTTCAAATTTTATTTAAGGAACTAATTTTTTGAGAATGATGAGTATATATTATTAAAACACGTTTACATTTACAAATATGTACTTTTCTTGGGAAATTAAATTCTTATAAATATATTTTTGTGATATGAAGGTGATCTAACACCTTGAAGGGTAGAAATAGTAACAATAGAGGGGTTGGCATAATTTCTAGTTAACACGTTTTGAGCTTACAACGATTCTTAAAATAGTGGTTGATTCCAATTTTAAATAATGTCTGTAAAATAACAAGTATACGTATCACTGAATTATCGAGTATTTATATTTTTTTACAGTAAAATACCACCCTAATACATAGATTGCCATGGTGGTCACCGGTGACCGGCGTTTCGAGCTTACAACGCTTCTTAAAACACTGGATAGCAAGTATACGTATCACTGAATTATCGAGTATTTTTATTATTTACAGTAAAATTTATAAAAATATCAAAGATCACCCTAATACGTGAACACTGCATGGTGGTCACCGGTGACCGGCGTTTTGAGCTTACAACGATCCTCAAACCCTGGATAGCAAGTATACGTATCACTGAATTATCGAGTATTTTTATTTTTTATAGTAAAATTTATAAAAATATCAAAGACCACCCTAAAACGTGAATACTGTCATGGTGGTCACCGGTGACCGGCGTTTCGAGCTTACAACGCTTCTTAAAACACTGGATAGCAAATATACGTATCACTGAATTATCGAGTACTTTTATTTATCACACTAAAATTTGAAAAAACATGGAGGACCATCCTAATACATTAACTGCCTTGGTGGTCACCGGTGACCGTCGCTTCGAGCTTACAACGATTCTTAAAACCCTGAATAAATCCACTTACAAACTTTTAAGTAATATCTGTAGAATAGCAAGTACCTGTACAACTGAATTAATGATCACTATTTTCCCGCCTAAAGTTTGAAAATGTATCAAGGACAAAAAGTCATAGAAAAGATGTAAAAGAAGGTACATAATAACTACTGTATCATCATTAAACGTTTCATTGATAAATATAAAACTATATTACAAACAATCACCCTGAATAAATCTACTTATAAACTTTTAAATAATGTCTGTAGAATAGCAAGTACACGTACAACTGAATTAACACTAGATTTACCTTACAATACGATTTTTCTTTTAATTAGAATATGTATTCATGCCAATTGCATCAATAAAATTCAACATAAGTTGTTAAAAAATAATATTTACGCGTTCTGCAATTTTAAATGTGGAATTAGACATCCGTTAAATTGACGGCTTCCGTAAATCTAGTGTTAACCCTTTGCACTCCGAATTATATTTCAATTTCGTTTTATTTGAAATTTACGTTAACTAAAAAATAGAGCAATTTAAACAAACAGAGGAACAAACAAATTCAATTGAATATCTGTTTTATTTACACTATTGCTGTATTTTGTAATTATCAAGTGTATGTCTTTGGTTTGGACTTGAAAAAAGGCCGAGTGGGACTCGACGAAGGAGCTCCTCAGATGAAAACTGATAGGAGTGCGAAGGGTTAAAGGTTTATAAGTGGATTTATTCAGGGTGATAGTTTGTAATATATTTTTATATTTGTCAATGAAACGTTTAATGATAATACAGTAGTTATTATGTACCTTTCTTTACATCTTTCCTATGACTGAATAGGTTTTGTCTTTGATACATTTTCAAATTTTAGGCGGGAAAATAGTAATCATTAAATAATATCTGCAAAATAGCAAGTACACGTACCACTGAATCAGCGAATTCTATTTTCCCCGCCTAAAATTTGAAAATCTATCAAGGACAAAAGCTATTCAGTCATAGAAAAGATGTAAAAGAAGGTACATAATAATCGACAAATATAAAAATATATTACAAACTATCGATCGGGGAGGAAAGATCGGTTTCCAGATTCTCGTGTAATTTTTTCGCGCGTACGAGGGGCCATTTTGCAATATTTTCCAGGAGTTTATCTCGCTGTTGCGTCGCCGCGCGCGTGTTTATAAATCTTTATCAGGCGTACGCGTCGCGCTTCAAAGGGGCAGAAGACGGAAATGCAGGAGACGTTGGAAGATGAACGCGTGCGAAACGCCGCGGGCGATGCGGGCGCACGATACACAGGCCCCCCCCCCCCTGCTTCATCTTCTTTACCGTACACGGAACTATTAAATTTTCATTTTAATCATACTCCGCGCTCCCGAAGCGATCAACTTCTGGGCGTTCCGTTGATGGGAATTTTCCCCGCGCGGGGAGCACACTCGTGCGTGCCGACCGTGTTACATTCGCGTCCGCGTATGGAGAATTCATCGTTCGAATATAAAAATGAAATACACTCGCGGAGGGGGAGAGGGGGAGAAACGCGAAAGGGAATAAAAATTACAGAGAGGGAGTAGGAACGAACGGTTAATACGCGAAAATGTAACAATCTCTTTGATAATTACGGTGAAATAAAATCCGCCGCCCGGGTTTCCATCCATTTTGCGGATATATTCACGGTAAAAAAATATGGCGGATAAGGCGACGGCTTTGATTCGATGTTTTGTTTCGCGAAAATATTAATTCTTTCGCTACTTGCACGGATTGAATAATTTTTTGGCGAGAATGAGGGATGATAGACTTTGTACGGAAATAAAATATTGTCTAGTTTGTATTTATAGTTTCTTTTTTACTTAATTTAAGTTCTAAATTTGAAGAATGATTTTCTTCTCAAGTTTTAGTATAAAATAAAATTTGTAGAATTCGTTTCGGAGTAATTCTTGTACAAAGTTTGTATTCCTGTTCAATAGATCCCAGAAATAGGACACTGTTAATTTTTAATTAGTAAAAAATATTAATATTTTTCTTATATTTTGGATGGTCGTGTGAAGTATCTCTTAATTAATATATCGCGTGACAAATGGATTTAAATCAAGGTTTGTTTTTTTATTGAAGTTTAAAGTCGCATTAACAAGTCATGAGCGACTTGGTACATTTACATGCTCATTCTTCTAGCATTTTTCAATCGCGTTGCACAGTGGGTAATACAATGATTAGAAGAAAACACAAAATTCAAAATAATATAAATGAAATAATAAACTCACGTGAAAATATTAATAACACAATTGCCTTTTCTCGAGGTTTATTTAATCGTCGTTTATCGTACAAAATTCGCGAAACAGTTCGAATTTGGCAACGTTACGGATTCGACGACGTGCGAAGCTGCTTCGGAGAAACAAGGGGCGTAAATAAAGAATACTCCACGGGGGTTGGTCGTAAGATACGCGCGGGAATATACGATGCAGCCGGCCGCGGTACACGGTTCTTTTTTATTAGATTAATCAATTTAAAACTCAGCCTCTCGGCATGAATTTCACTTTGAGGAAGATACCGGGGCGCTCGTAATCTCGCGTAGCCCTTTAAAAATGAGAGAGACAAAGTAGGGGGTGGGGGAGGGGGGGGGAAGAGAAAAGGGAAGCTTTTTCGCATGCAAATCCAAAGAGATATAAGGTTACCGCCTTAAAACGCGCGGCTAATAAACTCGAGGCTAGAAAAGAGAGGAGGAACGGTAGAGGGGGGAGGGAAAACGAACGGGAAAGCGACAGAAACGAAAATTTGAAGAATCTCGCGAGACGAGAGGGAACGACGCGCCGTGAGCGAATGCACAGGCACCTTTGTGCTGGAACCTCGCAGCTCTAAATCTTTTCTTGGAAAGAGTAAACTGCCAATCTTGGCGCTCTGGGTGTCGCGTGTCAAAGAGCCAAACTCCACGAGGAGTGAGCAAAGACGGCACAAAGGCAGATTGGACAAAAGGGAGAAAGTGGCAGGTGAAAAGTTTAAACTGGGACCAATACAAACCAGGCCTGCCCGTTAATTCTTCAAAAATTACACGGTTAAACGCCTAAACAGTTCGATGAGGACTGGGGAGAGGTAGAAAGAATATCGTCGCGTGTAAACTTTCAAAAAAGTTTATTTCTAAGTTAGACTACCGGACTACGTACAAATTTAGAGAAACTTCGATAGAACATTATGAAATTGAGTCTTTTTCTTTTGATTTTTTTTAATAATGTTATCCCTATCAGGTCGATGTATTAATAATAATTATTCTTCGTCTTTTTAAATACTGAAATATTTTAGTCACTATTCTATAATTGTTTACTGTATCAAAGCAACAATTAAAAATCAATCGGTTATATCTTTTATTTATCGCGATACACTGATTCGTTTCGTATTGAGAAAATATACCATCGAACTCAGATCTTTGTGAATTCCACGCGATGAAATATAACGTCAGAAATGCAGAGATCTAATACGGACGGGGATTTAACGAGAAAGCGGGAGAAATCGATAGAGGGTCGGTGAGAAAGCTGATCCTCAGCGATCTCCAGAAGAAGGAATGCGATTGTCAGAGCGGCGCGGAAAGAGAGGATGTTGAAAAACAGCCGTTTTGAATCGAATCAATTAAATGATAGGGGGGTGGGGGGACAAATAAGATAAGTAAAACGCGAGTACTTACCACCAGCAGCGACGCAGGTAATATTGAAAGACGCACCCTCTCTGTACGGGCCCAGCACGTAAAACGGAATATGAGACCTTCCGCTTTCGTCCAATATGCTGAGTTGCTCCGGGGGTACTGTAATAATTTCGCACAATAAGATCACCAGCCCTTCGGTTTTTTATTCACCCCAACCTGGGGTCTTATTTCTTTTTATTATCATTGGTTTATCGATTACGTTTCGATCCATCGCGAAGAAAAGTTTAGGGAAAATACCGGGGACCAAACGTATATCAATTTTAAAATTTCGCAAGAAAAAAATCACTAACAAAAAGATCGTTGCTTAAGTCTAGATATTATATTAATCGTAAAGTCTGAATTTATGAAGAAGAAAGGAGCGTGTTGGTAGAAGAGTATCAATTTTTTTTATTAACTTTTTCGTTACGCAATAATTATTATTTATAACGGAAATTTCGTTCGCGTTGTTCGTGGCAATCATCGTCGAGGGAAATTTTTTTCACTCGGCCATAACCGCTAACGATGACGGAAATATTTCCCCGGCTGCGTTCGACCGACGAATTTTTTTGTTTTACACTTTGGCTCGCGTTATGCCATCCCCAATAACAGGTTTCGTTTCGAATTACTGGATATCAACGATGTAAAACGTACCGTGGCCAGGGAAAAGTAGAATGAAATAGATGAAACTGGTATGATCGTTCCCAATGTCTATCAACGATAAAAAATTTTACCTATAATTTTTATTTGGTAACTGGAAACCACTATCTGGAGCATCGATAAGATTTCTTTTAAAGTTACGGTGATTGAAATGGGGAAAATGGAGAAAATTTGATTTTAAAGTAATGGTTTTGCAAAAATATTGCCAGCTTCTTGTTTCAAGATTTTACTAATGTTTATCAACGACAAAAGGTTTCATCTATAATTTTTATTTGCAACTGAAACCATTATCCAGAGCATCAATAAGATTTCTTTTAAACTTACGATGTTTGAAATGAAAAAATTCGATTTTAAACTAATGATTTTGCAAAAATGTGTGTCAATTCCTTGTTTCAAGATTTTACCAATGTTTATCAAGGACAAAAAAATTTCTCCTTTAATTTTTATTTGCAACTAAAAACCATTATCTTAAGCATGGACAATATTTCTTTTAATGTCATGATTATTGAAATGGAGAAAATTTGATTTTAAACTAATGGTTTTGCAAAAATGTTGTCAGCTTCTTGTTTCAAGATTTTACCAATGTTTATCAAGGACAAAAAAATTTCTCCTTCAATTTTTATTTGCAACTGGAAACCGTTACCTTAAGCATGGACAAGATTTCTTTTAAGGTTATGATCATTGTAATGGACAAAATTCGATTTTAAACTAATGGTTTTGCAAAAATGTTACCATCTTCTTGTTTCAAGAATTTTATCAATCTTTATTAACGACAAAAAATTTCACCTAAAATTTTTATTTGCAACTGGAAACCATTACCCAGAGCATCGATAAGATTTCTTCTAAACTTACGATGTTTGAAATGGAAAAAATTCGATTTTAAACTAATGATTTTGCAAAAATGTGTGCCAGCTCCTTGTTTCAAGATTTTACTAATGTTTATCAAGGACAAAAAAATTTCTCCTTTAATTTTTATTCGCAACTGGAAACCATTATCTTAAGCATGGACAAGATTTCTTTTAAGGTTATGTTCATTGAAATGGAGAAAATTTGATTTTAAACGAATGGTTTTGCAAAAATATTTCCAGCTTTTTGTTTCAAGATTTAACCAATGTTTATCAAGGACAAAAAATTTCATCTAAAATTTTTATTTGCAACTGGAAACCATTACCCAGAGCATCGATAAGATTTCTGTTAAACTTACGATGTTTGAAATGGAGAAAATTCGATTTTAAAATAATGGTTTTGCAAAAATGTGTGCCAGCTCTTTGTTTCAAGATTTTAGCGAGAGCCTTTTTGGCTTGGTATCTTTTTTCCACGTGCTCTCGTCGGTTTCGCGAACGACGAGCACCGGGAGCTGGCACTTCGGGGAGAATCAATTTGCACGACGATGAATTACCACCGCAGTGTGTCGTCCGCCAAACACTTTGGCTGGTATTCTTATCTGGCTGGTCGTTACCGACCCTGCGGTGCACTTAAGGAGCCGAGATGATTACGATATGCAAATTGTTTTCGAACTGGGCGCGCGGAATTGAAACTGACTCGAAACGACACACAGTAACACGGAAGGCATTCGTACGGCGGTGTAACTAATTTTCTGATATCTGTCGCATCTAGTAAAACAATTCATAAGCAATTTATTTAATATTTCACCTCCAACCTCGATGATTCTTATCTTCCATCTACTCAAAACTGACAAAGAAACAATAAAAAACATTTCAATTTTGCTCGTCTCATTTTTAAAAATACAGACATACTATTTAATCCACATAGAATAATAAATCAATTATTGACAATGTTTTAATTTTACTTACTGCTTTATTTTGAGTCGTTTCTAATTTACGATAGTTATAAATATTTTTATATTTTTTCATTTTTTACCAGAGTGCAAAATTTACATTTTTGGTGATATACTTCATTTTTAAAAATACGGACATACTTTTTAATTCAATAGAATAATAAATCAATTATTGACAATGTTTTAGTTTAATTTTGAGTCGTTTTTAATTTACGATAGTTATAAATATTTTCATATTTCTTCCTTTTTTACCAGAGTGTAAAACTTACAATTCCGGTGATATTCTTCTAACACATCGATATTTTATACGTTCAAAAAATTTGTTTCTCTTGTACTCCTTTATTCTCTCCAACTTCAGACTAACGTTTTCATCATTCAAATTGTGCTCGTATTAGGGGAAGAAAAGGGAATTGAAACGAGACCAGCAATTTAAATATTATCCCGTCTCATCGTGCGCGTAATCTTTAAAATAAAGGAAAGCTAACGGCAAAGAGGGGGAAATGGAAAATGGAAAGTGGAAAATTTGCAAAGTAAAAGAAACGCGGGGAATTTTTTTAAGGAGGTGTAAAGTAAATGTGTGAACAAGATTAAAATGGTTCCTTCTATTTTCTCTTTATATTTCCACGATCTTCTTTTGTTTGCATACAGAAAGAGAAAGAAATAGAAGATCGTGTAAAACAAATGATTACGTAAGTGCAAGGGACCCTCGTATAAAGTAACAGATAAAATCAAACGAACAGGAGGACAGATATTAATTACAAATATTAACATACAAATTGAAGATCTCCTATCTTAGAAACAGCAAAGACAGAACGTATAAGAATAACTGAAGAGCAGCGCGAGGTACAAAGGGCAGTGAATAATCGAATAAAGGCAAATTTAAAGATATTACATTATCGCGTTCAGGGGAAGTAATGGATCGAGAAAGCTCGACGCAAAGTAAACGGGAGAACGTAACGATTAATGGGGAATGAAACAGACGGACACAAGGGACGAACGAAGTGCCCATTCAGCCGAGGACACGAGGAAGAAAAAAAGGATCAAAGGACATCTGGTAAAAGAGTAAAAACAAACGGGGCAACGGAAGGAATGTAAAAGGCAGCATCTGCTGAAAAGGAAGGGAATGTAGGAGGCAAAAGGACAATCGAAACGGACGAAATACAGGACTTCTCAACAAGAAACGGAGAACGTTGAAGGGAGGAATGTTATCGAAGTAACGGGGTGAAAGAATTTTTCTAGAATTACGAAGTATTTGGAATGCAGACCAGGTTATGAATAAAGTGTCTGTACGGATCGATTCGACTGTGCGAAGGTTGGGAACGAGCGTGTACTTTGTAAATGTGACGGATTAAGAGTGCAATAAGATGACGAGAAATGCAGGAGAAGATGTAGGAGTCAGCGAAAATCAAAGAGTCGACGAGTAGGGGGTGGAAAACGGGCGAAAGGGGTGAACAAGTAGGAAAAGTAAAAAGTCGAACAGTGGAAGAGTCCGTTCAAGAGTCTGCGAAGCCAAGAGTCGAAGAGAAGGAGAATTCAATAGTCCAAGAGCCTGAATGTCTAATGGTTCAACAGATAGGGAGGTTAACAGTACAAGAATCTGAAAGTCCAATAGTCAAAGGGAGGTCGAAAGTTCACGGGCTCTAATAGATTAATAATTTACGAGCTCGAAAGATCGCGAGCCGGAGAAGTGTAAATGTCTACCGGGAAACTGCGGGGAACAAGAGTCGGAGAGTTTAAAAGACAAACAGTCCAAGATCTTGGGGACGTCAACAGTGGCGGGATCGTAAAAGTCCGGCGTTTTAAGAGCCCAGGTTAATCGTCCATGATTCTAACTTTTTAATTGTTCGAGAGTCGGCAATGGGACAAGAATCTATGCGTTAAACAGATCGATAGTCTCAGAATTGAGTAGATCGAAAGTTAAAGAATGCAAACGTCTGATAGTTTAAGGTTTGGACGCTGAGAATAAAAAATTGTAGTACTGTGTGTACGTGAAAAGTTGAATACGGGTCTGATTGGTGCTCCGATCTCCAATGGGGATAGGCGGAGCCAGCGACTCCCCTGTCTCCTTTATCGTCCTACTGGCCATTTTTTCGCATGCAAACAGTAGTTCGATAGTGTAAGAGCTTAAAATTTGTTCAAGAGAGGCGGTCAACGACAACACAAGAACCTACAGTTCAATAATTCAATAGATCGAGGAACCAAGAGGTCAATCGTCCAGGAGCTAAAGGCAAATAGTCCCAGAGAACTACAAAGATCAAGAAAGCAAGACAAGCAAGAAACTATGGAAATGGGAGTTCAAGTGTTCAAGAGCTTGGGACGTCAATGCAAATTATAACTCTTTAATTGTACCAGAATTTGATTTAATATTAAATTTAAAGGACTCTAAGGCCGAGACTCTACATATGTAAAAATCCAACAGTCAAACTAATGATCCAGGAGCTTAAGAGACAAATGAGATAACGTCAATGCAAATTATAACTCTTCAATTGTACCAGAATTTGATTTAATATTAAGTTTAAGGGTCTGTGAGACCCAGAGTCTACATATGTAAAAATCCAACAGTCAAATTAATGATCCAGGAGCTTAAGAGACAAATGAGAAATCGTTAATAAGTATTATAACTCTTCAATTGTACCAGAATTTGATCTAATAGTTCAAGAGATCATGAGGCCCAGAATTTACATATCTAAGAATCCAACAGTCAAGAGGTCCAGGAGTTCAAGAGACAAACAATTTCCAATAGTTCAAAAAAATATGGAGAAGCTGAAGTTAAATACAGAGATGAGTTAAGAGTGAAAGAGTTAAGAATTTCAGGAGAGTCCCAATTCCATGGTTGGAACGAATTTGTTGCGTCTTGGATGGGAGCCTGTCAGCTTCCTGTTGTCGAAGTGGCGGTGTCGGGAAGGGCGAGGGACGAGGAAAAGTGGAGGGCGGAAAGAACAAGCCCGGGTAAGAAAAATCGAAGAGGGCAGGGAACAGATCCGCTGAACACTCACTGATCACTGTGAGATTGACTTTGCTGTTCTTGGTCGGCGACTGCTTGAAATCGACCCTGCATCTGTAAACGGCGGCGTCGGTCTCGCTGACGTTCTGGAGGACGAGTTTCGCGGGATGCTCGGAGTATTTGAAGAAGGCACGTTTGTCGAGGCTGATATTCTGCCAGTGTTTTCCTTGTTCCAGGTTATTTTGTCCCCTCGTGTCGAAACTGCAAACATTCGAGTGGCGTGTATAGTAGCGACAGAGACGTACGGGGGGAGGGGGGGGGGGGTGTGCAGGGGTTGGCGAGGGCGAACAACAAATTTCGAGGCTGGCACCGAGAACGATACGCCGGCCGCGGACCACGATTGAAACGGTTTTCGAAGTCCCGACGAGAATAAATAATGACGGAGCAGTTTGTTGGTTCGCGAACCGTTTGACACCCTCGACGCCCTTTGCGCGATGGCCACGCTATGGTCGGCCAAATTTCTCCCTGCAAGTATCTGTTAAGCGCGCAAATTACTCATTCGTCATGTTTGATAAACAAACGATGAGTGATCCTGTTTTAAACGAGCTATTTCTATTTATGTTCTGGACATCTTTGTCGAGTTTATGTCGATTTATTAATATCGAGTTTAGGGGGTACAATAATAATACGAAAAGTGGTTTATGAAAATAACGAAAGACGTACGAAGTAATTCGAGTAGTGAAACTTATAATGAAACTAAAAATGAAAAATATAAAATGCTCGTTTTATTAAGAAGGCTAAGGGTGAAAGAAAGTTATCTTGTATGTGCTGTGATGGCTATGGTTGGCCAAATTCCTCCCTGCAAGTATCTATTAAGCATACAAATTACACATCTGCTATATTTGATAAACAAATGATGTTTTAAACGAGTTATTACTACTTATGAATTATGTAAATTAATATTGAGTTTGGAGAGTACAATAATAATACAAAAAGTGGTATATAAAAATAATGAAAGACGTACGAAGTAATACGAGTAGTCAAGCTTCCAACGAAAATAAAAATGAAAAATATAAAATGGTCGTTTTATTAAGAAGACTAAGGATGAAAGAAAGTTATCTTTTAGGTGTTTCTATAGCAATGGCGCGTACACCGAGAAACCGCGATATTACACGCGATAACGCTCGGAATGGGAAGCGTTTTGATTACGTTGAGCAATTTCGAACGTTTCTCGTGACATTTAGTGCAGCCTCGTGGCGAAAGTAAAGATACGTGCAGTTTTAATATTACCCGCCCCAGATGTCAATAAAGTGTTTCCTCGCCAGTGTTGCTTCCTTTAAATTCGCGGGGAAGTTTATTAGCTACACTTGTAAACATTTTGAGCGCTTTAGTGGATTCTGTGGGTGTAATATTGCGACGCGAAGAAAGAAAACAGAACTAGAAATTCGTTCCTCTGTAGATTTCGCTGAGCCAACCAAGCCGGAATAGCTTCCCTGCTTTCTTCTGTTGCGTGAAATACGTCGGGTTTAGGTTTAAAGGACCCCGACCGAATTCGATACGTTTTTTTACTCTCGACATTACGCCTTTCCAAAATTGCTTCCTCGCGTAATTTCGTATAGTTTCTTATTTTCGGGGAGGAAAGAAAGCTTTCGAAAATGGTTGACGTTAAATTAGTTCAAAAATAACAATTCCTCCTAATAATAGAAACGTATTATTCGTGAATCTTTATTTCACGTTCATGTTTAATTACGACTGTAATCGTTAAAAAATAAATTGTAAAATTAGCTACGAAAAGATTAGTAAAGGGAAACGTTTCAAAATATCATTAATTCATAGATGTGTGCAAAGCTAAACTTATTTAAAGAGAAATCACGGGTTGCAAAACGTATCATCGTTGATTGGAAAGTAAAACATTGTACAAATGGTTTTAAAACGTGCAGCACTTTCCCTCGTTTCTTATTACGAATGTGGCTAGTAATCGTAATCATGCAAATATAAATTGCCACGTGTTATCGCCAACTTCTGCGTGCTTGGGTTCGCTTAGTCATCGACGACATGTCAGCGAACGCGATAGTAAATCTTAAATTATTTTTAGATTAATTGACTGATTAACCGGAGGAAATGTTAAATCGATAATGCATAAAAGCAGCGAGGAAAGGGAATTGGAAGGGTCGAGATAATCCATTTCCTGTATAGAAAGCAATTATTTTACCAAACATAAGGATTTAGCTTTCAATTAGTTTCGATCAATGCCAGAACCTTGTGTGAACCTTTTTCCATTCATACGTTCTATAGGCTTTTTAATCTCAAACTTGATTTCTTTTCAATTTATATATAATTGTATTATTCTTATATTATATTTTAATAGACTGCAATCTATCTACAGTTTTATTTATTTTATTTCATGTCAGACAAAATATTCTTGTACATATAAAATTATGATATTATGTCCAACCAACACGATTGATGGGAGTTTGGACAAATATATTTAAGCCTGTCGACCACCGTGGATTTAAATATTAAAATCAGGCGACGCAAAGAAAAGTACACAAACCGGAAATTAATTTCTCGATACGACCGGTCGGAAAGTTTCGAGCAAACAGTAGCGACTGCATTCGAATCGTCGACGTTGAATTGTCTTTCGAAAATCCGAGACGGAAGAAGCACGGGAACGAAACTTTCATATTGCTTCTGCTAAACTCTGTCGCGGAACGATCAATCGAGAAATACGCCTGAACGCGGGACGGTTATCAAGGCGAGGCAAAGAGTCACGCGAGATTCTTGAACCCACTTTACCATCTAATATCTGGCTTTTACGCGATGGTACTTTTATTACGGCACCGGCGCTGCAATAGCGACGGGATCTAACTAAATTTATGGAGTATCGATAGCGCGAGAGCTTTCTTAAAGAGATCAAAGCACCATCTACCCCCCCCCACCTGAAGGAATTTCTCCAACGAGTTATTTACATTTTCCCCGTCGCTTCCTCCTTCTCGCGATACACTCTCTCTCGTTCGACGACCCTATAAATTCGCGCGATCGAATTTTCTACCGTGAACGGTGACCCTTCTTTCTTTTTTATACGCGATCACGCAATTGGGACAGGTCGAATTTAGCGAGAAAGTGGTAATACTTATTTTTAGGAGTCTGAAAGGTTCCTACGGTGATTTATTCTCGAGTTATTATTATTATTCATTTATTAACGGGAATACACCCTTTAGTACAAAAGATGCAAGGAACTACAAATGTGGATTTTACATAAACATTATCGTTTATAAGATTTTAACAAAATAAATTAATTTACAATACGTTGCAAGGATAATTTTAGACACTAATGATTGTTCAATGTAAAAAAATTCGAGTAGGTGATGAAATTTTTCGGCGAAATTAAAAAATTTCAAATCGTTTAAAAAAAATTATTTTCGATTGCAGGGGTTAATTACAATCATTTTTGGTCATTAGACATACCCCCGAAATCCTATGCATTTTCGAGTAAAAAATTCTTTACCGAAAATATGATGCCTGACCATACCATTGATATATTTCACTGAAATTTCATGCGAATCTTTAAAATGTCATAACTTCTGAACGGATTGGCCGATTTTAATGTTTCAAAATGCAAAAGACGCGTATTTTGGCGAAGAATATGTAGACATTCCAAAAATATTCGAGAAGGTGATCCTTGACCCCGTAAACTGAGAAAAACCCCATAAAAGTGGTACAAATTTCAAACGTCCATAATTTCTACAATAGTGAACGTATCTCAATAAAATTTAGTATGGAAGTAGAGTTTATGGGTACCTACAAAAAAGTATTAAACAACTTTTCTGTGGGGCGTCAAACAAATTTATTAAAAATGAAAAACGAATGTTAAGGAACATCGACAGGGGTTAGTTAGCTGTTGAAATTTTTCGGCGAAAAAAAGAATTTCAAATCGTTCTGTGAAAATTATTTTTGGTTCTAGGGGTCTATTACAATCACTTTTGGTCATTAGACATACCCCCGAATTCCTACGCACGTTTGAGAAAAAAATTCCTCACCGGAAATATAATTTCTGGCCAGAAATATTCGCCCGAAATTTCATGCAAATATTTGAAACACCACAACTCCTGAACGAACTGGACGATTTTAATGTTTCAAAATGCAAACGACGCATATTTTAGTGAAGTATATGTAGAAATTCCAAAAATAATCGATAAGTTGATTTTTGACCCCGCAAAATGAGATAAACCCCATAAAAATGATCTAATTTTCAAATAGCCATAACTCTTACAATAGGGAACATATTTCAATGAAACTTTTTTCTCAAGTAGAGCTCATAGGTACCTACAAAAAAGTATTGGACAACTTTTCTGTGGGGCGTCAAACAAATTTATTAAAAATGAATAAAATTCAAGTATGTGCCTAAATTCTTCGATAAAAAAAAAAAATTTTAAATCGTTTTAGAAAAATTATTTTTGGTTGCGAGGGTCTATTACAATCATTTTTGGTCAATACACAGACCCTCGAATTCCTACGCACTTTCGAGAAAAAAATTCTTTACCAAAAATATACTGTGTGACCAGAAATGTTCCTATAACTTTTTAACGAAGCCTCAATCAACAAATTGGTATCCTTGGTTTTCGTCTTATTTTGGCCTCTAGAATCTCCCATTTAAATTTTTCCCAGGGGTGGCCGAACACCCTGTATATTATAAATAGTAAAGGTCCCAAATATGAACCTTGTTGGATACCAGATGTAAGATTAATATCTCTCGAGTAATTGTTATTGAATTTACCTATATGAACTCTGATAAAAAACTGGATATTAATTGTTAATTGAATTTGAAAATTAATCGACAACCGTGCAGTCGAGCACGATTCCCGCGTCTGACCATTACTCGATACTTCTACTTGGCTAATCGAGACCATTGTACGCGTAATCAGTGAATGCTCATGATCGATTTTCTGGAAAACGAAGCATTATTCGACTCAATCCTGTTAAGAGACACGAGTTCCAACATTAAAATGATTTTTTAATGAAAGGTTTTGTAATTGCTATTCTTTTTTTTAAAAAAATTCGTCGACCAAACCTAAAATTTGTATTCGTCGTACGTGAATAAAATTAGTCCCCAGTTCACGGTTACCTAATAATTAACAGCGATCGTTTGTCTTATCTCGCGCGTATGCTTTCCTAGCGACATTTCCCGCGAGCATTCCGCTCCGTCCACGCAATCAGCGCGAACCACACTGTCAGCGCTGTTATGCCGCGTCGTTTATAAC